GGGATGGGGAGAATCCCATAGATTGGACCTTTCCACTGTCACAGAAGGCACACAATTAGCCATAAGAGAAACAGTGGCTATGATGTCCATGTTTGGCTTTGCCTGGGGCTGGCGCTGGCTTGGGAGATAACTTGTATCTATAGACTCCAGAGATTTTGCATTTCTTTCTTGATTTCAGGGTTGCTTTTTCCATCTCTGTGAGCCCTTCTGGCTACAGAGGACTTTTATTGCCTTGATAAAATAAAATACTAGCTGTTCTTAAACGTGTCATTCTATTCAGGGAACACAGCGTCCCTATTTACTTTGCAAGGCGCTTTCTTTCCCCAGAGAAATAAGCTTTGGCTGTGAGTCCGAGGGCCTCTGGGAGGTGTCATTTGCTAAAGGCATTCAAATCAATACTTCCCCACCCCAGAGCAGAAGCAGGCCTGAGGCTGGAAAGAGTTCTTCATGTCCAAGAATCTGAAGAGTCCCACTTCTCCCAAGTGGCATCTTGAGGAGCTGACGCAGAAGAAAAAACAAAAATAGGTGGAACAACAGCTCTAGCCCAGCACTTGCAGCTGGCACTCGTGAGGAGAGAGAGTCTCTTTTAACGCTGCTCTTCAGCAGCAGAAGTGGGCGGCTGAGCTCTGCCCCCTGAACCTGGTTTCAGGTTTGGGTCTGCCCAGCCCAGCTTGCTGCTATTCAGTTGCTCAGTCATGTCTGACTCTTCATGACCTCATGGACTGCAGCACACCAGCTTCCCTGTCCTTCACTATCTCTTGGAGTTTGCTCTAACTCATGTCCATTGCGTTGGTGATGTCATCTAATCATTTCATCCTCTGTTGCCCTCTTCTCCACTTGCCCTCCATCTTTCCCAGCATCAGGCTCCTTTCCAGTGAGTCAGTTCTTTGCATCAGTTCGCCAAAGTATTGGAGCTTCAGCTTTATCAGTCCTTCTAATGAATATTCAGGGTTGACTTCCTTCAGGATTGACTTGTTGGATCTCCTTGCTGTCCAAGGGACTCTCAAGAGTCTTCTCCAACACCACAGTTCAAAAGCACCAATTCTTTGGCTCTCAGTCTTCTTTATGGTCCAACTCTTACATCCATACATGACTACTTGAAAAACCATAGCTGCAACTAGATGAAACTTTGTCTGCAAAGTAATGCCTCTGCTTTTGAATACGCTATCTAGGTTTGTCATAGCTTTTCTTCCAAGGAGCAAGCGTCTTAATTTCATGGCCCAGCCTAGATCCAGGCTTATAGGAGCAGCAGGTGGGCCAGGCTGGACTACTAGGGGAGCCCTGGCAGCCAAGTCAATGCCCTCCTGCTCATGTCTGCTTACTCTAGTGAGCATGCTTTTGAGGACCTGCTCTGTGTGGGCACCACACTGGGTATCAGAACATTAACATGCCGAAGACTCATCCTTGCCCTTGAGAGGGTTACAGCATGGTGGAGGACTCAGGTCATCAGTAGTTTCTGCACAAAGTGGTAAGTGTTCCTTGGGAAAGAAACTCAAGATGCTTCAGCGGGAGGAACAACTTTTAAAATAGTGTCAGCACAATACTGCAAGCCCAAGGGACAAGCATGAACTGAGAACCAGAGGAGACAAGTGACAGGCTGTGCAGGCTGCCTGAAGGAGAGATGTAAGGAGGAGATGCAGGAGGTAGGGCATCCCGGGAGGATGATTATGACTCCTCAACCACACAGTTTCCTTTCTTCTTGCCTTCCTTTCCTACTCTGACCTTTTGGTCAAAAAATATAAATTGGAGGACTCCCCTGGTGGTCCCGTGGTTAGTCCACTTGCTAATGCAGGGGCCACAGATTCAATCTGGGAAGATTCCATATGCTGCAGGACAGCTGAGCCCGTGTGCCACAACTACTGAAGTCCATGTGCTTTAGAGCCTGTTCTCTGCAACAGGAGAAGCCACTGGAATGAGAAGCCCAAGCATAACTAGAGAGTAACCCCTGCTTGCCACAACTAGAGAAAGCCTGCACGCAACAACAAAGACCCAGAGTAGCCACAAACAAATAGATAAATAAATACAATAGCACTTAATAATTATTAAAAGGGGTCCAGATCTGAAGGGTGAGGGAGGGATAGGAGGAAAGAATTCTTCCCCAGGCCTTGCTGTCCAAGTCCCTGGCCACCACCCAGCAGGGCCTTTCTCACTGAGGACAGCGCCCTCCAGGAGCTCCAAGGGCTAGCTGACATGCACTAGGGTGTGAAGACTGAGCCAGAGCAGAGCAGGAGACAGAGGGCCGGCCAAAGCGCACAGCCCCACGGAAGGCCGGGAGGGCATTCTTATTTCCTTCTCGACTTCCAGCCAACCGAGGCAGTACACAATTATTTACTTTCCCTTCCTTGATGACTGCTTCTCAAACATATTGGTTGTTTTATATCCTCTGGGCGTAGCAGCGTTGGAACATTCTGTCTTGGGAGGCCGTCCCTTCTTGGAAAGCATTCAGAAGGAGCTGCCCTTTCTGGCTTAGGGTGAAGGCAACCTCAGATAGATGCTGTTTCAGTCGAGTGCTTTCTGGCTGCTGCTGCCTATGGAAGAAGGCTGAACCACTGGGAATCGGGAAGGAATCTGCAGTCACTGATTCTGGAGAGGGCAGCCAAAGACTTGATAGAACCGGTCATTTTAGATAGAGCTGTTATCTGTCAGTTCTTACTGAAAGACAGTTTCAGTCCACCAGAGCTTTTCATGCAGGTGTCTCAAGGCACAGATAGATTGCCTTCATAAAATGAGATAAATTACACTGCACGGCTTGCTGCCTGTCCTTTCTCTTCCTTCTGGGTGTGACGGTAAGACTTCCAAGGTCCTGGAGGAGGGGACTCAATTCCAGGCAGTGAGCCTTACAACCCAGCAGTGGTTCCCTCCAATTTGCAGAATAAAATTCAGTTCCCCGCACTCCCACCCCAGGCATTGCTACCTTTTGCTTTTCATTACTAGTGGGCAGGTGAAGTGGGGGAGCGAGGGGCTGGGGGATGCTATCCATAACCAAGCAGTGGACAAACTGTATTTTGCATCTTTGTGGCTCCAATGAAACAGATCATCATGGATGGCTATTTGAAATAAGAACGGGAAATCCCACTTTGACCTTCCCCTCATATCTGGGCTCAGCACCCTGAATAGTCAAGACTGTTTCCTGCTTACCTGGTGTGTGTGTGTGTGTCTGTGTATGTGTGTGTGTGTGTCTGTGTGTACACTCAGCCCCTCAGTTATGTCTGACTCTTTACAACCTCAGGGACAGTAACCCACCAGCTGGGCCTATAAAATACTACTGCTGTGGATGCACCCTGGCTATTCTAAATACAGAGAGAAATGGACCCTTATCATTTGTTTCTTAAATGTGCTGGGCTTTTTGCTGATGTTGTTTCTTTTTCCCTTTTGACTGATGGTCAGCACACCTGCATCTTAGACTATCCTTCTACAACTGTCCTTCGGTACAATCAATATTGATATTGTTATGACCTTGTGAAATGACCTTGCGATTTTTCACACTTTCAAGACTAGGTACTGTGCAGGACGGTTTCTCCTAACTGTATAACCTCTCTCTGAACCAGCACACTCTGGTCTTCTTGCTGGTTTCTTTGCTAGCAAGACTATAAACTTGGACATATACTCCAGATCAATTTACTTAAGGTATTTAAGGTCTTGACATCACCCTGCCCTTGGGGCACACCCAGCTATAAAGGTTTTCTCAGCCTCCTCCTTCCTAGGCACTTTCAAGTGTATGTAGGGCAGCTAAGTCTCTAGCTTCAGTCCCATGCCCACTCCATCCCCTCTTCTTTGTTTTAATCTGCTTACTCCTATTTGTCTTTCAAGACTCATCTCAAGGGCATCTCTGAGAAGCCTCTCCTGATGGACTCTCCACTCATCCTCACTCTCTCCATAGCAGGGTAGAGAATCCTCTGTGCTCCCATGACCACCTTGTTTACATCTGTCATTCGACACCATGAGAAAAATACAATATTAAAAACTTGCCTAGATTGATAATGTGATTGTGAAAGACATGAGAAATATTAACAGCTAATATCGACTGTGTGCTAAGTGATTACAGTCATGTCCGACTCTTTGCAACTCTGTGGATTGTAGCCCGCCAGGTTCCTCTGTCCGTGGGATTCTCCAGGCTAGAATACTGGAGTGGGTTGCCATGCCCTCCTCCAGGACATCTTCCCAGCCCAGGGACTGAACCTGCATCTCTTACGTCTCCTGCATTGGCAGGTAGAGCTCTTTACCACTAGTGCCACCTGGAAAATGTTGATTGAACATTTGCTATGCAGCAGGTAGCATTCCAAGAGTTTTACACAAATGATGTCATTACAGGTTGACGATAGCTCTGTAGCAGACACTCCTGTCGCCTCCCAAACCACCCATTCCTTTCTTCACGTCTGGCTGAACCCTAATTTCATTTGGGTGTCTACCACTCTTCCGAGTAACTTAAGGAAAGCTATATCCCAATTGGTCTAAATCAATTATTTATTGTGAGTCCATTTCTCTTAGAGTGATTGGTTTTAGCATAGACAGGGAATAAAATCCTGGCCCTGAGACAGGAAGAGAAGTCTAATGAGTAGGGGAAAGGGAAGTGCTTCTCAATAATTTCTGGATGCCAGAAACTTTGGTGATCAGTTACAATTTAGGAGGGGAATGAACCTCAGAGCAAGAAAACATAAAGAAAGTGTCAGAACCAAGAAATGGAAAGTAATTGAGTCTTTGATGGAGTCATTGATTACTGAGGTAACCAACCCAGAAATATCAGGACTTTTTTTAATGTGAGGAGATAGATTTTCCTTATTGCTTAAATTGAATTACTTATAGCCCAGAACATCTTAATCATTGCAAAATTAGTTAGAATGTTCTATTACTCTTTCCATTTCACAAATGAGATAATTGAAACTCAAAGAGCTTAAGTAAGTTGTTTACTCAAGACTAACTGCATATAAAAAGTTAACTAACTCCAGGGCTTTTAGACTCCACATAGTGCTCACACTCTGAGTGTGAGAGCCCAATCTTACCTGGTTTTTTTTATCCTTGCATCTAGCTGGCATACCATAGGAGCTCAAAGACTTTTTGAATAGAGAGTACTTGTGTGGTCTGAACTTTTATGGCCATCCTCCCCTTAACATCACTGAAATATAAATCTCCTGAAAAGAAACAGAAAAATATGCTTCATTTGGGTCCTATACACTATAACTGGGTCCCCTGAAAATCAAGTTAAAAAAGGAAGCAATGCAACAGTATTACCAACAGAAAAGTAGATGAAAACAATTCCTTAGAACCTCTCGACTCCAACATAATTGCCACTTGGGGGGGATTCCCTTATAGTCCTTTTTATATGCATACTGAACAGTTTGGTAGATGCATAAAAAGCACTTGATAAAAGTTGATAGTCATTTGTAATTTTAGAAAAAATATAATTTTATCAAACTAGAACATTAAGAACATTTTTTAACCTTTTAAAGCATTTCATCGAAAAACAACTGCAAACATCTAATTTAATGTTGGAAGTTTAAATGATCTTTAAGTTCAGGCTCAAAACCATCACTGCTTCACTACTTATACTCCACATTATATTGAAAGTCCTAGTTGGTGGATTAACAAGAGGAAAGTAAATAGAAGTTGAATAGACAAGAAAGGAAGATACAAAGCTGTTATTATTCACAAGTAATACTATTATCTACAAAAAAGGAAAAAACAAGAGAATCTGTAGAAACACTATCAGCATTAATAAAAAACATTCTGCAAAGTTGTTAGATAAATATGCAAGTACAGATAACATTCCAATATACCTGCAACAATTAGAAAATGTAATAAAAAATAGTACTTTCAATAACAATGAAACTTGTGAGTTTCCTAGCAATAAAAGCCACAAGAAAAGGATATACAAAATCTCTATGGATAAAACTGCCATAGTTTACTGAAAAACACAAGTTCTAAAAATGTGAAATATGAAGCACTTATGAGTTGACTTCAATTATTATAAAATTTCCAGTCCTTCCCAAGTTAAACTATGAAATCAACATGAAGAATAGAGGGGCACTTGACTTATCAGACATCAATAATTAAAGCTATAGCAATTAAGATTTCAAAAGCATGGGTAGACTAGTGCTTCTCAAACTTTCAGGCCCCCAGGAATCCTCTGGGGATCTTGTTAATCCCAGATCCTAATTGAGAAACTCGGATTGGGCTTGAGATGCTGCAGTCCCAATAAGCTACCAGGTGATATTGATGCTGCTGGTCCATGAAGCACCACTTGGAAAAGCAAGAAAGTAAATAATTGAAAGAACAGAATAATGAGCCCAGAAACAAACCCATGTATTTATGAAAGCTTGCTATATGACAAAAGTGGCATTGCAGATTAGTAGGGAAAGTGGATTATTTAATAGATTGGGTTGACTCAAAGTCCTTATGAAAGGGACATCACAAGCTGAAATCAAGATTTCTGGGAGAAATATCAATAACCTCAGAAATGCAGATGACTCTAAGGGCAGAAAGTGAAGAGGAACTAAAGACCCTCTAGTTGAAGGTGGAAGAGGAGAGTGAAAAAGCAGCTTAAAACTCAACTTTCAAAAAAGTAAGATCACGGCATCTGATCCCATCACTTCATGGCAAAATGATGGGGGAAAATCAGTCACAGTGACAGACTTATTTTCATGGGCTCCAAAATCACTGTGGACAGTGACTGTAGCCATAAAATTAAAAGACGCTTACTCCTTGGAAGAAAAGCTATGACCAACCTAGACAGCATATGCAAAAGCAGAGACATCATTTTGCTGACAAAAGTCAAAGTTATGGTTTTCCCAGTAGCCATGTATGGACGCGAAAAGAAAGATGAGCAAGGAAGAATTGATGCTTTTGAACTGTGGTGTTGGAGAAGACTCTTGAGAGTCCCTTGGACTGCAAGGAGATCCAACCCGTCTATCCTAAAGGAGATCAGTCCTGAATATTCATTGGAAGGACTGATGCTGAAGCTGAAACTCCAATACTTTGGCCACCTGACGCAAAGAACTGACTCACTGGGAAAGACCCTGATGTTGGGAAAGATTGAGGGCAGGAGGAGAAGGGGGTGACAGAGGATGAGATGGTTGGATGGCAGGCATCACTGACTCAATAGACACGAGTTTGAGCAAACTCCAAGAGATAGTGAAGGACGGGGAAGCCTGGTGTGCTGCAGTCTACAGGTCGCAAAGAGTCAGTCATGTCTGAGCAACATAGGAATGTCAAAGTTAGAGAGACCTTCAAAGATTATACACAGCTGGCTTTGAAGATGGAAGAAGGATCTTCAAGCCAAGGGTTGTAGGTGGGCTTTAGAAGCCAGAAAATGTGAGAAAACAGATTCTCTTTTAGAGCCTAAAGAAAGAATGTTGATTTTTGCTCAGTGAAAGCCATTTTGGACTTCCGTCCTCCAGGCTGTAACAAACTTGTTGTTTTAAGCCAAGTTTGTGGTATATCATTAGAGGAGCATTGCAGAATAAATGCACATACAGCAAAAGGTACAATAAAACAAAGTGAAAACATAAGCCACAGACTGGGAGAAACTTTTTGCGATGCATCCAGGTGACAAAGAATTAAATGGGAAACTATTTTTTTTTTTAATTTTTTTAAATTTTTTATTAGTTGGAGGCTAATTACTTTACATCATTACAGTAGTTTTTGTTAAATGGGAAACTATAAGGAAGACAACAATGCACATACATCATGAAAAATAAGTCAAGAGACCAACCAGAGAAAAATGCAAAGGGTATGTACAGAATTGACAGAGGAAGAAAACTCAATGATAAAGAAAAATAAGAAAAGATGCACAGCCTCATTAAAAATCCTAGAAATGCAAATTAGAAAAGCAGTGAGATGTCATTTTACACCCATCAGAATTTTTAAATTTTGATAATGCCAACTGTTAATGAGAATGTACAACAATGAAACTTTCATAAAATACTGACAGGAGAGAATATTTTTGTAATGGAGAGAGCAATTGAGTGAGAGCAATTGAGCAATTAGTAATTACTAATTGAGCAATTAGTAAACCTGAAGTCACTCATACCCTATAACTTAAATCTACCTGTACATATTTCATTAGAGACACAATCACATGTGAGTACTTGGAGAAACAAGACTATTCATTAAGACATTTTTGTAATACTAAACAACTGGAAACAACCTAAACATTCTTCCATGGGCAAATGGGTAAATAAATTATAGCATATTCCCACAATGGAAAATTCACAGCAATTAAAATCAATGAGTCAGCACTTCCTCTCTTACCTAGCTGTATACATAATTATGCCTTAGCTGGCTTTCCCACCTGTGGTGTCTTCCCATTTTTGTACAACTGGAAAATATCTGAAAATCTGATCATGCCACTATCTTAGTTAAAAATTCACCAGTGTGTGGTTTTTTGTTTTTTTTTTAATTTAATTGTGCAGGGTCTTAGTTGCAGGATGCAGGATCTAGTCCCCTGACTAGGGATTGAACCCAAACACCCTGCACTGTGAGTGCCAAGTCTTAACTACTGGACCAGCTGCAGGTTACAGGGAAGTCCTACCTGCATGTTATTTTCAAGTATAATTTCTAACCAATAGACCACATATGTTTAATGTGTACAATCTGATAAGTTTTGACACACATATAAATGCTGCCATGATCAAGGGAGTGAACACTTCCATTGCCCTCAAATGTTTCCTGTGTCCCTGTAGTCTCTCCCTCAACCTCTCTCATACCCAAATAGCCATTGATCCGCTTCCTGTCACTGTAGATCAGTTTGCCTTTTCTGGAGTTTTATGTAAACAGAATCTTGCAGTGTGTATTCTCTTTTTGTCTGGCTTCTTTCTCTCAGCATAATTACTTTGAGATTCATCCATGTGGCTGTGTAGTTTATCCCTTTTCATTGTGGAGTAGGGTTCCTCTGTATATTTATTTATCCATCCACCTGTTGGTGGACATCTGGGTTCTTTCCAGTTTTTGGCTTTTTTTTTAAAGGCAAAGAATATTTTTTTCAGAAAGACAGCTGACCAAAAAGATGGCAGACCAGTGTCTCAAAATAACTATCTTATCAAAGTCTGGATCCAGTTTTTGACGCTTACAAATAAGGTTGCTGTAAGTCTTTGCACATAAGTCTTTGTGTTGACTTGTGCTCTCTTTTCTCTTAGGTAAATTCATGGAAGTGGAATATTTGGACAGTAGGTGTATGTTTAACTTTCTAAGAACACTGCCATAGTGGTTGCACCATTTTACATTTCCATCAGCAGGCTTCAGTGGGTTTTTAAAAATAACTTTCGTCATCTATTTATTTTTGGCTATTCCGGGGTGGTCTTTGTTGTGTAGGCTTTCCTCTAGTTATGGTAAGTGGGGGCTACTCTCCAGCTGTGGTGTGCAGGCTTCTCATTGCAGCAGCTTCCCGTGTCGCAGAGCATGGGCCCTAGGGCGAGTGGGCTTCAGTTGTTTGGTACACGGGCTCCGGAGATGTGGCTTCTGGGCTCTAGAGCACAGGCTCAGCAGTCGTGGTACACGGGCTTAGCTGCTTTGCAGCATGTGGTATCTTCCCAACCCAAGGATTGAGCCTGAGTCTCCTGCATTGGCAGGTGGATTCTTTACCACTGAGCCCCCAAGGAAGCCCTTCAGTGGGTTTTAAGAATAAGACCTGGGACACTTGTTGCAGCATGAACCTACTGCATAGTACAGGGAACTATATTCAATATCTCATAATAATCTATAATGGAAAAGAATCTGGAAAAGATTATACACACACACATATATAAATGAATCACTTCACTGTACACCTGAAAAATTATAAATCAACTATACTTCAATTTACAAAAAAAGATCTGGGGCACTTGTTAAGCACTGGAAAAAGGGCCTTGGGAAATGTGCCTCCCAGTGACAATTTTATATTTACCTGTGTCACTACTGCACTGGAGTTCACTTCAGTGAAAGCCCCTTAGTCATGGGGGCTGACCCTGCTCACTCATTTTCTGTCTCTGAAGCGCAGTCCAGGACTTGGTGCATGCAACTGCTCAGTCCATATTTATTGAATTAACAAATTGCACCATAGTTTTTAATAGTGAAAAACTGGAGACAATTTCTTGGTAAGAAGTGCAGTAAATGATGGTTTACCTATGCTCTGTAATACCATGCAGGTCTTTAAAAAAGAGCACAGTAGAGCCATATTTACTGATGCGGAAAATAGGCTATGATAGACTTTGAGTAGAAAACAACAAAAAGCAAGTTTCAGAATGATTCTTAGAGTGAACCATTACTGTAAAATAAAAAACTGCATATATACAAAATATATTCTCCTGGGCCCAGGGAAAGGTGTGGAATGCATGCTCAGTCATGTCCGTCTCTCTGTGACCCCATGGACTGTAGCCCACCAGACTCCTCTGTCCATGGGGTTTCCCAGGCAGGAATACTAGAGTGGATTGCCACTTCCTACTCCAGGGGATCTTCCCTACCGGGGATCTAACCTCAGTCTCCTGTGTCCCCTACATTGGCAGGGGCATTCTTTATCACTGTGCACCTGGGAAGCCCAAAGCTGTGGAAAGACAGCATCAAACCTTTAACATGCTCTGTGGCGCCGCGGGGCTGGGGAAGGAGACAAGCAAGTCTTAGTACTTCGTAAAGAATTCAGAAAATTTTGCTTTGTTTGAACATTTTATTTTTACAAGTATGTATGAGTTTTGTAAGTCAAACATGTTTTTAAAGAGTACAAGAAAGACAAGAAGCCATCCAAGGGTGGGGGGGGGGGGAGGCAAATCTTGCCAGCACCCCCTTTGTCTCGCCTCATCCCCGTAAGTGCTAGCCTGGGCCTTTGTCTTCTTACCTGTACCCCCACTTTCTCAACTGCACCCTGCCCTCTCCTCTGTGTCCGAATTGTCTCATCTGCAATCCTGTCCTCTCACCTGTGCCCCCTTCTCTTACCAGTTCTCCAGAGTGTGGCTCTTTTGCAGTTTCACAAAGAGCAAAGCCTTTGGAGTGGAGTTCACCGCAAGTCAATTCATGTGAGTGAGTTTACCTTCCCAGCAGGAATGCGAGCTCTCTGGGAAAGAAAGGAATTAACATATTTAAAAAAAGAAAATTGAACTCCTAACCCCTGGCAGGCGCATCTCTAGCCCATCCAACCCTCACAAGAACCTTGTAAGATATTTTTATCTCCATTTCACAGAACACTAAGCTCGGAGAGCTTGTCACTCGCTCAGTCTTACAGCAAGGACTCAAACAGAGCTCTGATTGGCCCCTGCTCCAAGCTTTCTGTGCCGTGGCCCGGGGGATGCAGTCACACCACACCCTCCCATGCACTTCCCAGCTCAAAAGTCTGCATCATGATGGAGGTAGTGGATCCTTCAGCCAGCGAATCCATTAAATAGTCTTTGTATTCATTTTCCATTAAAGCTTCATCTCCCCAAAACTTAAAATAGGATTGGCAATTTGCTATGTTTGACCTGATTTCACCCATTAACATAATTTATCAAATTAGAGAACAAGAGCTCTTTATCTCTTGGATAAGGAGCGGGGAGCCCAGGCAATTTCAGGGTGAGGCGACAGGGTACCACTAAGGGTGTGGGGTCCCAGGAGCATTCAGGGAGAGAAAGGAGGAGGGCTGAAGATGGTTCAGAAGTTGAGGTGGGAAAGAGGAAAGAATGTTTCATGGCAGAGTAGAAGGGTCTCCAGGCTTCGTGGAGGAAACCTGGACTCAGANAAAGAGTCGGGCACAACTGAGTGCCTTCACTTTCACTTTTCACTTTCATGAACTGGAGAAGGAAATGGCAACCCACTCCAGTGTTCTTGCCTGGAGAATCCCAGGGACGGGGGAGCCCAGTGGGCTGCCGTCTATGGGGTTGCACAGAGTTGGACACGACTGAAGCGACTTAGCAGTAGCAGCAGCACTGCCCCCATCTCCTGGGACCTAGAATAGTGCCTCACAGGTGCTCAGAGAGGTCTGCTTGAATGAATGATGAATAAATGAAAACCTGAATTCAACTCATAATGGCTCAAGCAGTGGCCCTGTGCAATAATTGCAGCCATGCTCCTGACCATCCTCCCAAGGGCTCTCCAAGTACAAGCCTATCCCGCAGCAGCTGGCAGCAGCTATTAGAAGTGGGGCATATATGGTGAGGAGAGTTCAGTTTACAGGTAAGAGGAGGCCCCTGAATCATCTCTTTGCTGGCCACAACAGGCCTGGGGCTGCTGCTGGA